TTCGGCGGCATCCAGATCTCAGCTGTGACTGACGCCCGAAGACACTTGGCCAGCAGAGCAGTAAAAATGGCAGCGAACGGGATTCGAACAACCGACCATCCCCACGATCTGCCAACGATCACGCTTTATCACGCTCTGCTACCGCGGAGAGGCATTGATATCTTTCGTTTTCGCTTTAGTTCTTAGCGCTGTTTACTCCTGGTTGATATTCTAGCATTGGCGGAAGTAATGAATTCGTCTATAGACGGTTCAGTTTAAGCTGACTCGGGCACTGTCGGCTGTAGCTACAATCGTGTAAGCTACAAACATGGACGTCGATGACGTTGTTTGGCTCGCAGTGCGCGCCATGACGGCGTTAGGCGGGCGTTAGGCGGGCGTCCTCCAACCGGCATTAGCCATAACGAACTGTGATGGGTCTTCTAGGGTGTAGCTTTCGAACGGCAAGGGCGGAGTCCCATGCACGGGCCGCGCAGCGCTGCAAGCCTGCCCAGTATGCAGCCGCAGCACAACGGGTAGATGACACCACTGTTGCGGGTTTGACTATAAACTCCCCCTGCGCGTAAGGGCTGGCTGCACGGCCCCTGTGGCCCCAGCAGAGAGTACGCAAACCGCTGCGGGAAAGGGAGCTATGGGTGGGTGCGGCACCCATGATGGGAACACGATAGCGAACGGACGTACTTTTTGCAGCAAACCCAGCGCGATTCGTTTTCGCGGTAGCGAGTCAGGCGGGGTGTGGTACGATCTCCCCGATGCACTCTCTTTCTCCCTCTCTCCCTCTCGCAGAGCAGCCCGGCGGCCCCAGCGCGAGAGGCGAACGGGCGAGGTCAACGACCCCAGCCCAGCCCGGCTCCACGTGCCCGTCCTTGCCGCACGCACACCCCCTCGTCACCCTCCCTTTCTCTCCATCTCTCTCTCTCTCTCTCTCTCTCTCTCTCTCTCTCTCTCTCTCTCTTCTCTTTCCCCTTGCATGCTGACTCCAACTCCAACCCCCCTGTCTCTTCCATTCTCCCTCTCTCTTTGTTCCTCCCCTTCGGCCT